TATATATAGGCTTTTGAGCTGGCATTCCATCTAGATGCTAAGCTTTGGCTGTTACCTGTGAATAAAGCTACAAAAATAATTATATAAATGCATTTCTGCTTTCCCTTTAATGCTGACAATACAGAAGTGCATGTATTACTTCAGAACAGATCTGCTGAACGTTATAGCTAGGAGAAATATAAAAACATAATAAGCTACTAAAAACGGGAATAAAAAGAATTCTGCCCATGTCATACCTTGTTTTTCAGGAGTGGAAATGAAGAAAAGATGATGTCTCTTCTTACACCATTAAATGTTAACTGTCATGCAAGTGATGGCAGAAAGGTATTTTTATTTAAAACCTGATTTAAAATTAGTTCACTCTTACACGTTTCACAGTTATTGTTTGCAAGATTTTAAGAATGTTAAACATCTATCTATTTTCTTTAATATATGTGGGGGAATGCGATTGTACCTCTCTAGCAGCTAGCTGGGGTTTTTTTGTTTGTTTTTTAACCTTAAAAGGACTATGTAGGTATTTCCATCTAGGAGCAATAAACAAACACCTTTTCAATTGGAACGTCTGTTTGACCTTCATATCTGCAGTGATAAAGAAGGGAGGCCTTTTCATAGATTCTTGTTGCTATCATGAAGAGACATACACAGGCCCCTTACTTGCCATACATTTCTGCTGTTTCAGGAACAAGTTATTCATCTCTACAAGTATTGGTAAAGAACTATGTGGAAAAAATGTTCAAAATCTCCATTCTAAAAATACTGATAGTCTCCTGGGTTCAGCCCCTAGCCTACCAAAGGTTCAGATTATTGAGTATCAAATTTCGGCATCCTCGTTGTTCTCATTAAGTACGTGTACTCATTCACTTAAGTTTTGTTTGACTGAGTTTCCCTCTTTAAGGCTTTGTGGTAAGATACTGGGATCTCCAAAAGACCTATGCATCTCTATTTTCTTACCTTCTAGTTATGAGACTCATCCTTCAGGAATTGTACAAACCCAGTTCAATTGATGGATTTGTAAATGAAGAGGATTAAGATTTCTCTTCAATAATTTGTAGCTCTGCCGTTGGTGCTGCTGATGGGTATGCTTGAGTGGGTTTGCTAGAAAAGATCATAGAGCAGTTATCTGACTGCTCTGTGGAGGGTGAGAATTTAGAAGAGAAGATTAAGTTTCCCCCACACCCCACTAACTTACTGCACTCACAGATGTGGATAACAATCTCTGTTGAAAATTTCTAAACTTAATCTGTTGATTGGCAGGGAGACCTCTTTATAATTTAGCAGTCATTGTTTCTAATGGCCGTCTTATTTCCCCTTTCACAAGGGACAGTTTGTCCCAGCAAAGTATTTATCACTATAGGCTAAAAGACAAAAATGGACTGCAGGACTCAAAAATCCTTTAAAGAGGGCCTTCATTGCCAGAATGTATTAATGATGGAGTAAATTCAGAATTTGTGTTTATGATGACTGCAAGAGTAGTCAGTAAACAACGAATATAGTTATCAAATGTCTGATTCAAGCACACTCTTTTTTTTAACGTTGCAAGTATTTTAAGGACTTCAGTAATTAGTACTGTTACTAAGTTTGGGGGGGGGGGGGAATCAATGCTTGATTTTTGTGTTACTGATTACTTCTACATTCTGTCATTTCAGTCTACTCCTTTACATTTAGCAGCTGGGTATAACCGTGTAAAAATAGTACAGCTCTTACTGCAACATGGGGCTGACGTACATGCTAAGGATAAGGGGTAGGTTCATTTTTCCTTTGTTCAGAATAAACAGAATTTGTTAAAAATTGAGATGAAGTAAAGAAAAGCAATACTATTTTAACCGTGAAGAATTTCTAACCTGAGACCATTGTGCCATCTTTAGCCTTTCTGTTATGACAAAAATGTAAAGTGTACAGGCTTAAGACTTGTGAATCAGTAGAATCCAAATTGAGCTGACCATAGAACATGCTGCGTTTTATCACTAGCCAAATTATTATCTCTTGTTTAATAAAATATGTTCATACCTCACTGTGAAGTCAGCAAATATTTCGATGATTGAATCAATCTTAATTTTCTTTCCACTTCTAAGTTTCTGTGCTGCTTTTTGCAAAGAATGTGATTAAAAATTGAAGATCAGTTTCCCAGAGATTTTATTTGGACTACATTTTCAAGCATTTGGTTGTTATGTCAGGAAATGTAGTGAAATATAGACATGCTAAGTTTATTTAGTTACATAAAATATAATGAAAAACCTGTTTTTAAAATGTGTATTTATGTACATTAAGGATTATGGAAAGCAAACTCTTATTCCTCCTTTTTCCTAGGATTACTTCACAGTGACATAAATAGCTGCCCAATCAGACAGCTTTAATTTGTCCCCTTGGGGTTGGATTTCACTTTGTCATTTCTCCCTTACTAGCCCACAGTGAAAGAATTCACTTTGGCCAATTTCTCACTTGCTCCTAAGACCACTGGGTTTGAGAAAGTATGAAGCTGGATTTAAAACCTGTAGCTCTGCTGTTACTGTAGAATATTGTACAGTTACTTAAACATTAGCCAGTAAGACTTCTTTAGTTTCCAAGGGAGAAGATAATCTTACAGCAATGTTCTTGTGAAAAAGGAAATAATTACTGTCACTCCTGAAAATCCCCTGCAGATAGTTCTTCCTGCTTAGGGTTCTGAGTCTGAGCGGAACAATTTCATTTGCAGTAAGACAGTGCAATTAATTTCTCATCTTCTGATTATTTTAAACATTTATTGTTCTGAAAAATGCTGATGGGGTTTTCTGAGTTCTTCTCAAGGGTCTTATTTCCCCTCAACTTCATTTGAACATCTCTCATATTATTTTTGTAAAATGTTCAAGGTGCAACATAGTACCATTTGCAATGCTAAGATAATCCTTCCCCTTTCTCTCCTATATAGAGATTTGGTGCCACTTCACAATGCCTGTTCCTATGGTCATTATGAAGTAACAGAGCTTCTAGTAAAGGTTAGTCTTTGAAGAGATTAAATTGCATATTATTAAATAAGAACAGTTTTTAATAGACTAATGCAAGTTGCATTTTTTTAATTTCGTACTTAGATTTACAAAATTTAAAGAATGATTGATTGCTTTTGTTCTACATGTTAGTTAGTGATTATTAAACTGGAGCTACAGAATCTTCTGCTTGCAAGGAAGCTTTTTCCCTCTAAATGTGCTTTCTGTTTTTAACACACTCTGCTCCAAAGTTGAATGTTTTTGTACCACCAAGTACTTCTTATCTCAACCTTCCTACCTTCACCCAAAAAACCCACCAAAAAAACCACAAAAACTGAGCAATATTGTGAGTTTGACAATAGAAAAATATTTCAGAAGACAGATTATTAAGAGGTTTTTGAAAAGAATACTGATAAGATCATAAATGTTTTCAAATTAAGAGTAATCAGTCTCTTGAGGGAATGAACTTCACAACATCAATTCTGGCCCTGAATTGTAGCCTTCACCCCAAAGAAAGAAAAATGTGTCAGGTTTTTTTTAACGTAAGTGAACTGAGTGGCTTATCTGGATTATGTTAATCTTGAAGATAAAGTATGATGCGCATTAAACTAGTGGCTCAAAGTGGTGGCCTGCAAAAATCTGAGTGTTGTCCACCAAGGGACTTTTGAACTGTGCCCATTCTCAGCTGCTACAGCAAATCATGATGGTTATAACAGCTGTGTTATGGTTATAACAGTGTTCTGTTAGATAACTCTCGATGTTTGGAAGCTGTTGTTGTTCTATCCTGTATGTCTCAGTCCCTGCTAATTCCCTGTGTCTTTCTATTTGTTTAGCAAAAATTAAGTAAAAATTATTGAAATAAGCATATATTGTAGTAAGTATAAATAGTCAAGATTTTTTTTTTACTTCAGAGGCCAATTGTAAAGTGAACCTTTACAGTTGTGGTACTAGACAAAAAAAAAAGCTCTTGCCTAGACACTACTGTGTGTCTTAACTGTTAAGCTAGAGTTGTATTCCCTGTTTCTGCTCCAGTGAATGTTGAATTATTTTTTGCAAAGCACTACAGCTTTAACAGGAGCAATGGGAAAGAGCGTGTCGTATCAGAGTTACTTACAGACAGAACTCAAGGTGCATACAGAATGTTACTGGAGAAGAATTACACAGATATTAATCATCCAAGAGTATTACTTTCAGAACCTTGTACTTAAATGTTTTGAATTGAAGTCAGCTTTGAGTGCCTATCTCCTTCTAGATATCTTGGCATTCATATCTTGGGGGGTATGCACAGAACGTGTATTTATCTTAGTGCAATTGTTCGCTCTAGACTTTTTCTAGAGCAACAAGAAACAGGAGCTTTTTCAAAGGTCATTTGGAGTATATGAATTAGGCTCTTTCTCCAACTTGACCTGTAGCAGAGCTACTCTCCTTTTAGAGATACTGGAGAAAGCCTGAAGAGACTAGCCTGCCTTTGACTTCTTTGAATGTACATGTGAGACACTAGAGGATTAAAAACTGCAGTGTGCTGAAATGTTGTGTTATATTGAAAATGAATGTCTGGAGAATGTCTTGGATACAGTTTGCATACAAGCATTGATTTTTATTTTAACAGTCTACTGCACTGAAACTAATGACAGAAGTCTTTTTCTAATGATCTGGTTTTGATATTGCATCTTTTTTACCCCTTTCCCTTTCCAAGCATGGAGCATGTGTGAATGCAATGGATCTGTGGCAATTCACCCCTCTGCATGAAGCAGCTTCTAAGAACAGGGTGGAAGTATGTTCTCTTCTGTTAAGTTATGGTGCTGACCCAACACTGTTGAACTGTCACAACAAAAGCACCATTGATTTGGCTCCAACACCCCAATTAAAAGAACGGTTAGCATGTGAGTATAAAGTGAGATAAGTTCTACAGTTATAAATTGTATTGTGTACTTAGGTTCCCTAGACAGTGACCTGCCAGAAATCAGATTTGGAAAATGCTTACACTTTCCAAGCAATTGTGCAATGTCAGACAGTACATTTCACTGTTCATAATTTGAGATTGCTAGATTTGCTGAAAGTAGGCACTTAAAACAATTTTATTGTCAGTTTTATAGTCATGTGATTGTGATGGGTTTTGTAGCTTTTCCTCCCTGAATACATGCTTTCCCTCACAACCTTGCCAGTACACTTTCATTTTCCATACTTGCTCCTGTCATTGCATCGAGACTGTTGAAATACTCATTTTTATTCCAGTGTGTTTTGTTTGAAGAAAAGACATAACCATTTAGAATGCTGAATATATTTGAGTATGCCACAATCGCAGAAAGTTCAAAGAAATTGATGAAAGGCATTGATTTTTGTCCGGCAAACTTGAGTTGAAAAGAATGCCCTCAAATTCTGTCCTTGAGTGGTCAAACAATAACTTTCTGGGATATGTACAAAAATTATCAGTAAAAACTACATTAGACTTCATGTTAGCATCTAGAAATGGTTTTCCAAAGACAGGTCAGAAGTAGAGATTTATATGTGCTTGAATTGGTACATATGCGAAGAGTGGAACCTAGAACAGTGGTGAGCGAAATAGATCTTATTCAGCCAGTTTGGATGTCTCTGGCTTTGGTTTAGAAACAAAGCGCATTCCGGTAGTGTTTTGACTTAGCTAACAAGTTCTGTCAAGTGATGTAAAAGCTTAAGTCTTAGTTGGAAATGTCTGCACCATGGTCTGCTGAATAAAATGAATATTTTTATCTGACTGAAAGAAACAATGCTCTTAATCCTTCTCGAGGTAAGGAGTGTAACCTGGTATGTATTTATTTCTTTTTCAAGATGAATTCAAAGGTCACTCATTGCTACAGGCTGCGAGAGAATCAGATGTAGCTCGTATAAAGAAACATCTTTCTTTGGAGACAGTGAACTTCAAGCATCCTCAAACACATGAAACAGCATTGGTAATATCTCAGGATTTATTAATTATTTTGCATATATTGTGGCTGACCTAAACATACTAGGTAATAGTTTAGAACTAAAAATTTCAGTGTCAAACAGTCTAATTCAGACCAATCTGGAATATCCAGTGTCTAGTTAAACAAATAACATGGATTCATATTTTGTTCTTAAGGTTAATGTTAAGACTAATCTAAATCACGCGTTTAATTTGGGTTGTCTAAATGACTGTTTTTCTTTTTCTGTAGAATAGTCTCGTTTTAAGCAACAGCAAGCTACATATGTTAGCTTTGTTTGTAAAGTTTGAAGGTTTCCAGCAATTAGTGGAAAATACCACAGTAAATCCAAAAGCCCATGTGGAATCTCCTGAATTAATAAGCTTCTACATGTGTTTTTTTTTTTTCTGTTGACTTTGCACACGACCAGCTCTTAACTGCCAGCTGATCAACAAGCAGTAAAACCTATATATTGCTAGCTAGTTGTTAATGCTACAATTTTTAATGTTCTCAGCACTGTGCTGCTGCATCTCCATATCCTAAGAGAAAACAAGTATGTGAATTGCTGCTGAGGAAAGGAGCCAACATCAATGAAAAAACAAAAGAGTGAGTGGTTACAAATGAATACTCCTAAGTGTTTATTTAGAAGATTTTGCAAAATACATTTTGAATTATTCTTTCTTTTTTTTTTTTTTAAAGCTTCTTGACTCCTCTGCATGTGGCATCAGAAAAGGCTCATAATGATGTTGTTGAAGTAGTTGTGAAACATGAAGCTAAGGTATGAGTTACTATTTATACCTTTTTTGTTGAGGTCTGCCTACTATATAGGTTTTCGTAGCATGAGTATGAACAGCTGAGTAGACAGACTTTTCTAAGATAATTCATTTTGGAAGGTTGTAGATTTATACGCTTAAGACATAGGCCATCAATCCATCAGTACAGCCCTATACATTGAGGCATCATTACTGTTTTGGTCCTGTTTTATAAGAAGTAGTATGGAGTTCTTCTCACTGTTAACTGAAAGCTTGTAGAGTGTCTTATTCAGTGCTTTGTTGTCCAGCAGTAGTAATGAAATGCTTAAGGGAAAAAAAAAAAAGTAGGGGATATATACAAACAAGAAGCTAGACTGGACTGTAAAACAGGTAGATTTTACATGATGTTTTGTGCAGTAAAATTACAGTGAAGGCAAAATGTTAAATCGTAACATGGTGTTTAGTTCAAATACACAGCATTTAGTTCAAATTTTCACAAAAAGGAAAAATGGAAAGGAGATCCTCTATAATGCTTGAGTCCTCCAAAAGTAGGAGTTGAATCTCTCTCTCATGTAAATTTGATTACAGCCTGACTGCTGTGAAGTTTCTAAAGCAATTATCAAAAACAGAGGAACAGTAGGGAATACAAGTAACCTTTGGGTGCAGAGTTTTAAATTGTTGAATACACTTTGACTGAAACACATAGAATGTCATCAACCTGAAAGACCACAATAAGCCAATGCAGGTAAAAGCTGTTATACATGTTGGCACTGAGGATTTGTGCTGCCATGAGCAAAATAATGACCTACTTCTGTATGTGGTAAAATTGCTGTAACTGTTTGTTTACGCTGGATTATTCACATGCTTCACATGCAGGCTGTTCTTCCTCAGTAAATAGTTTTAACTTTATGCACTGCTTTTGTTAAAATTTTATCTTTTGAAATGTCATGACCTTTGGAAATAGGCTGAATACGGTCTTTTAATTAAAGTAAGAATATTACATGCGAAACTCTCCCAGTCAGCATTGAAAACAGCTTTAATATTAAGTTTTGATGGTGGTGTTTCTTGTCTGTGTTATTTTTAGGTTAATGCGTTAGATAATCTTGGCCAGACCTCTCTTCATAGAGCAGCACATTGTGGTCATCTTCAGACGTGCAGGTTGCTGTTGAGTTCTGGGTGTGATCCTTCCATTGTGTCTCTGCAGGGCTTTACAGCCTTACAAATGGGGACTGAAAGTGTGCAACAACTACTACAAGGTACAACTGATTTATTTAAGATCCACTTCTGAAGTAATGTGGTGCTTCATTTTACTGGTCCTTTCAAGTGCTGTCAAGAAATAATAGTGAACCCAAGCAAGGAAAAAAAAAAAATACTTTCTACAAAAGACAGCGCTGGGTTGTGCGGTTCTTATTCCATAACCACGTCCACAGGAGAGTGCCTGTTCTAGGTGTAGTTAACAGTATCGTTTACTCTCTAGTATTCAGCTACAGAGATTGTCAGAGGTGCTCAGAATGCTTCATGGTGTAGCCACCTGGAATCATTTTGTAAAAATCCTGATGTAGGAAGGGGGGAATCTTTTAAGTAGAAAATGAGTTTCAAAAGCAAAAAGCGGCTGCTTTGCATTTGTGAGCAGAGGCAACAGGGTACATGGATTTTCAAGAGTAAGGTTTGGACATTATACACGTAGGTAAGCTTCTTGATATAGTGGAATTCTGAAACTGAAATAAGAATGTTTAGTTGGTTCCACAGTACTTCAAAATGGATAGGTAGCATGTTGCTAAAGGCAATTTTGCAAACACTGTTAGAGCTAATAGCTACAGTTGTAGATAGTAAGAAAAGGCAAAACTTGTCTATAATTGGTAAACTTTTTTTTAAAGGGAAATCCTTGAAATACTCAAATGATTTCCTGTCTTAACAAATTCCTTTAACTACATACACTTATCTGTCATGCAACCTTATTTATTTTGCAGAAGGTATCCCATTAGGTAATTCCGATGCAGATCGACAGTTGCTGGAGGCTGCAAAGGCTGGAGATGTGGATACTGTAAAAGTAAGCTTAAACCTGTCCTAAAAGTAGCAGGGAATTATATCCCAAACTATAATTTCTCAAAATCAGCGATGAAACAGCCCTTCACGGACTGCTTTAGAGTTGTGATCCCTGTCCTAAAGCCTTTTTATTGCACAGATATTAGAGATGGCAGAATGTAATGTTCGCCACCTCCAGAAGTTTGTCTTACATAAAAAGCGTAAAAAAAAAAGTCAAGATGTGGATTTGGGAGGAAGGGAGTATTTAATTATTATTTTTCTTGGGACACAATCTGTGAAAAGTAAAGGTTTTATGTAAAAATAAATGAAGAAATAACTTTCCTTTGTAATGAAAACAGGTTTTCAAAACTATATGTGTATAACAACATTTTATGACTAGATTAAAAGTGTGCCAATACTATGTATAGTGATGTATGTTTTGTTTTGGGGATTTCACAGAAACTATGTACGGTTCAAAGTGTGAACTGCAGAGATATAGAAGGACGTCAGTCTACACCACTTCATTTTGCAGCTGGATATAATAGGGTATCTGTTGTTGAGTATCTTCTTCAGCATGGAGCTGACGTGCATGCGAAAGATAAGGGGTAACTACTCAAATGTATATTTCTTGGCAATTGTAATTGCTGATACGTGTCAGCTCTTGAATACTGCTAGCTGATAAGCATCCCATCTTTCTTCAGACATTCAATTTTTTTATTTTCATGGAAAGTTCTGTTAGAGTGAAGCTGTTCAGAGTATCCACAAAAGTATTTTGCAGTACTTGAGACTAGAGCATCAAGAATTTCTCTGGCCCTGTGTTTTTACTTCTCTTCAGTGCCACTGCTGATTGCATTTTTACCACTTTGGCAGTAGCTTTCCTACTATATTAGACTATTGTGGAAATTTTTAAAAAATGTTTTTGTTACGGTTTGATTGTTGAAGATGCACTGTGTTTTAAGTTTATATCACTTTGTGAAAAAAGACACAATTTTTAAAGAGAATTTTTCTCTTTTTTTAATTGTTTCCAGAGGACTCGTCCCGTTACATAATGCTTGCTCATATGGTCACTATGAAGTTGCAGAACTGCTGGTTAAACATGGTGCAGTTGTCAATGTAGCTGACTTGTGGAAATTCACTCCCTTGCATGAAGCTGCAGCAAAAGGAAAATATGAGATTTGCAAACTCCTGTTACAGGTATTACATATGCTGGAGAGAGGTTACTTTTCTTTCTTGTTCAGTCTGAAATGTGATTGGACTTCTTTGAGAAACTGGTTTGTGTTTTGTGGTTTCTAAATGATTGTAGTTAACTGTATGTTTTCAGTAAAAGGGATGCTATTAGCAAATATGTTGTCCTTTCTCACACAGTAAATGAAGGCTCTCTCTGAAAGATTCGAATATGTCAGAATATTTGCTCAATAAGGCACAAGATGCCTAAGATGCAACGTGTTTATTCTGCTTACGTACTTACCACCTGTTTTTGATGTGCACAGCATGGAGCTGACCCTACGAAGAAAAACAGAGATGGAAATACTCCTCTAGACCTTGTTAAAGATGGTGATACTGATATTCAAGACCTCCTTAGAGGAGATGCAGCTCTACTAGATGCTGCAAAAAAAGGTTGTTTGGCCCGAGTAAAAAAGCTGTGTTCACCTGACAATGTCAACTGTCGGGACACGCAAGGACGGCATTCAACACCACTACATTTAGCAGGTCAGTGTTTTAATTAACTGGTTTGATCAGTGTTATTAGTTACTGTGGCTGAACTTTCTATGTCTAAGCAAGTTTAAAGTATAGCCTCCTATACTTTAGAGGATTCCATATTTTCTCTTTAAAAAAAAAAAAGCATATTAATATTATGTTCCTCTTCTAAACTGTTTAACTCTAGTGACTTTAATTTTCTATTCTCTCTAGCCGAAGAGGATCTTTTATTGTTTATTGACAGAGGTTTTAAAACCAAATACTCTTAAATAGGGTGAAGCTGTTTTCACTAATAGATAATACACTGTCTTCACTGGGATTGACATCTTAACTTCCAAGTAATTTAAGTGAACTATTACTTCTCTACAACCTGTTGAGGATTTTTTTTAATATGTTCTGTTTATTCTGTCCTTTTGCAACCTTCCAGCTGGTTACAACAATTTGGAGGTTGCAGAGTACCTGTTACAGCATGGAGCAGATGTGAATGCACAGGATAAAGGAGGTTTGATTCCTCTGCATAATGCAGCATCTTATGGGGTAAATATCTCAAACTTTCTGAGGCTTTATTTTTTTTTTTAAATAAATAAATAAAAGTGATACATTTCATTGACAGCACTGTGAGCTAATACTCCCTAGAAAGCTTTTGCCATTGAGTTGTAATGTAATCTTATTTGTAAAACGCAAAAAAACTAATTTGATCATAGTCAGCTCATTGTATAGGTGAAGACTTTCTTGAATTTGTAAAATCATGGTTGGAGTTTACAGAATTGAGTTTTCTGAACATGAACACTTAGAAAGCCAGCAGCCTGAAAGGTGTTCCATAAAATGCATTTCCTTACCTGTGCCAGTCAAATTTTATCAGCAAGATCTCATTTTCATTTATTTGGCTGGTATTGAGACACTAATTGTTTTTGTGGACTTCCTGGATCTTTGTACTTGGATCAAGTCTTTAATCAAAACAGTTGGGAGTACTTTCCAAACTGGAAGTTCAAATTCAGGCTTTTTTTCCTTCAGAAAATTAGGATTCTGTTGTAGTCTGTCCTTTTTTCGCAAGAGAATAAATCTTAACTTTTTACTGGTATGTTATAGGTGAGGAAGAAAACACCTTGTTTTAATACTTTTTTAATCATAATTAGAAAGTAAATGTATTCTAAGAGAATGAATGAGGATTACAGAGAAGTATCAGTAATAGTTCTGAGTTAGTTTAGTATACTGTGGTACCATGGAATTTAACAGGTGTTTTTATTTTCCAGCATGTTGATGTAGCAGCTTTACTTATAAAATATAACGCATGTGTGAATGCTACAGACAAATGGGCTTTCACACCTCTGCATGAAGCAGCCCAGAAAGGAAGGACACAGCTTTGTGCCTTGTTACTGGCACACGGGGCTGATCCTACCCTGAAAAACCAAGAAGGACAAACGCCATTGGACCTGGTTACTGTAAGTGATAGGGCTCTTCCTGGGAAATCTGTACTTAACCTGCCATTTGTGGCAGCTCATTTAAAAACTATCCTTTAAAAAAAATAGTAATATGGCAACTTCTGCAAAATTTAAAATACTGCGGTTTCTCTAGTGTTTATATGTGCCTGGTAAAGAAAGTCAGTAGAGCCTTTATAAACCTTCTTTAAATGTTTTCTTGCTTAAGACTTCTTATTTCAAGATGAAGTGGGAGGGCTGTGGCGGGGTGGGGAACCCAAAAGGAATTCATGCTTATAATTTGATGCTTTTAATTCGCTACTTATAGTTCAACTAATACAAAAATTGTGGCAATAAAATGTAAGCAAACTTTGTAGCAACATAAATTTAGGAAACTATCTGGCTGTTAAGTTTTTGAGTGTTTTTTTTCTCTAAGTATTATAGTACAATTGAAAGCTACACTCAGAGTAACTGTTTTGTTTCATAAATTCTGGTTGCCAGTAGCAGCTTTTGTTCCTAGAAATGAATTCTCTTTAATTGTCCCTAAAGTTTTTTAGAAATATTGAAGTCTTTACTTTTTATCTTATTACCGTTTCTATTTACAAACATTTTACAGTCTCATGTATGCTGTTGGCACAAAAGGCCATTTGTAAACTGCATTGTGAAATGCATATTTTTCCAGTATGCATTTTTTTATTTTGCAGTATACTTAAGAAGTCTGGAATAATGATAATGCGTTCCAGGAAAACATTGTGTAAAAGTGTTCCTCTTTTAATAAATTGTTTTCTGCTATTTAGGCAGATGATGTCAGCGCATTATTGACAGCGGCAATGCCTCCTTCCGCCTTACCAACTTGCTACAAACCTCAGGTTATAAGTGTGTCTCAGACTACAGGTTCTACAGCTGATTCACTGTCTTCTGTTCCGTCCAGTCCATCCAGTCTGTCTGCTGCAAGTAGTCTTGACAACTTGTCTGGTAGTTTTTCTGAACTTCCTTCAGTTGTTGGTACAAACAGTGCAGAGGGAGCTACTGTTCTGGAGAAAAAAGAAGGTGAGGCTTTCTCATTTAGGAATGAATAACATTTTCTACCATATGGTAAAAAGAATACACAAGTGTGAAGTTTCCCATGCACACAGTTACTATGACATATGCAGTATCCCTATTCCTTATGATGTCATTAATGAAGAACAGAAGTCTAAAAATCTTGTAGTATAAGATTTTAGTACTTTCCCCTTACAGAATCTTTAAAATGTTCCTTTTTTCGCTTTACAGAACCAAAATGGTGAATTGTGTTTTAAAAGAGAAGTCAAATGAAGTTTGGCTCCATACCAAGCAGTATTTTACTACAAACTTTATCTAGCTTCTAAGAGGCTATTCTTAGATCAGATATCTTTAAAAGGTTACTTCTGTAACATTTTAGTTCTCAAAATATTTTCTGTTTGAATATGCATTTCTGGTAGCTAGTTAGTGGCTTATTTCGTGGAAGCACAAAGACTGCTCTTGGGGGGGGTAAAAAGCTACTAGGGTAGATTAAGTAACAATTGCCAGTGGTTAGTTCCCCATCTTCAGAAGACCGGGAATTTCTGTCTTTCTCGTTATTGCCACAGACAGCATGAGATTTGTATACTTTATTTGACAATACATGTATGAAAGTTCATTGTGAGTTTTTCTTCTTATGCAGTTTCAGGTGTAGATTTTAGCATAAATCAGTTTGTGCGGAACCTTGGCCTTGAACATCTGATAGACATATTTGAGAGAGAACAGGTAAGTAGCTATATTTATTTCCAGATACTTGGCTAGAAAGGAAAGGAATAAATACTGACTGTTTAGAATAATGTAATGAGACAGATTTAAAGTGAGTGAATGTCAAAATGAGTGTAATGAAGAAAAGGATTATATATATATAATAAATATATATATATAAAAAT